ATTTGTAAACTTGAATTTTAAATAATATGCATCAATAAACAATACTTAATGCATAAAAACTGATTATTAAGAGTTTTTCTCAGATACTTTATAATATAATTTAGATTATTCTTTCTCCACCGTATACTCATAAAAGATGCTTTTAATGTTATATTGGCCTTAAATTTTTGCAATTATTATAATTAAAAAAATTAATTCATAAAGTTTTGAAAAAAATGAAATATGGTAACTTACTTTAAACTCCAAAAGATAAACACAAAACTAAAAGCATTTATGGTTAAATTAATTACTTAATATATAATTAAAGAGCAGATTTATTGCATGTTAAACAATATTTCAAATGATTTATCATCACTCCTTTTTTTTTAAAGGAATTTATTATTACCTAAAATTTAAAGAGCAAAAATGCACTAAATTAAATCAAATTTTGCTTTTATTTTTATTTTAAAACATGATTTAATTTTTTCATAAATAAATGATAAGTTTCCTTTCAGACATAAGAGAAATAGAAAGGAAAAAAATGATAACACTTAAAAGGATTATTAAAATAAAAATATTACTCCTATCGTTGAACAAAATATAAAGATATATTTATAACTGTCAAGAATATAAAGACTTGTGAGAAGAGTGTCTGAGTTTATTTGTTCTATTTGTCATATATTAAATACTTTAAAAAGAAAGAATATATATATATATATATATATATATATATATAAAGATTATTTAATTTTTACTTTTTTTTTCCTAAAATTGAAGAACCCGTATGTAAAGGTTTTGATTTATATGTCAAAAAAAACAAAACTAGATTCCCGAATTGACCCAAAGTTAGACCATTGCAGCTTATCATCTTGTCACAACATCAATTATGAGTATACGTTTGTTTCTACAAGTCTAATGTTAAATGGCAAACGTGGTGGTCCATTTCCCTCTTTAAACAAAACCAACCTTTTCCTCATCTATCTCTCTCTCTCTCTCTCTCTCTATATATATATATACTCTCTCTATATATATATATACTCTCTCTCTCTCTCTATATATATATATGTGTGTGTGTTTTGTGGGTGTATTAGTGATGGGTGGTGAGATAGGAAGAGGGTGGTGTGCAATTGTGATCTTGAGTGCACTTGTGTTAGCAACAAGATGTGATAACATGTGTGATTTATACCAAGGGAGTTGGGTGTACGATGAGTCGTATCCTATGTACGATTCGACGAAATGCCCGCATATCCGAAAGGAATACGATTGCATCAAGTACGGTCGCCCCGATCTCACCTACCTCAAATTCAGATGGCAACCCACCAATTGCCCCTTGCCCAGGTACCATCTATATCTATATCTTTCTATTCATACATACATATACACATACACACACATATATATATACATATAGATATGCATTATACATGTATGTATATGTGTGTGTATGTGTTCAAGAAATGTGACTTGCTTTACTAAAGTTTAGATTTGAATCCATATGTTATTTTCTCTTTTGGCATTATATTCGTTGGTCAAATCTCTCTCTCTCTCTCTGTGTATATATATATATATATATATATATATATATATACATATATATTGATTGGTGGACAATTGTTGTTTTTATAGCATGTTGGTCTAACACAAGTGTTTATTTTTTTAATGGGGTGTTTAATATTTAGTTAAGTCGTGGGTTTGATCCAAATCTATTTTACGTTTATCATTCTTTTTCTTCGTGAAAGTTTGGCAACGATTTGTTGTAAGATCGAGATAATATAAAAAACGCTCAAACCCATGTTTTCGTAAAAGGACTTGTATCTGTTCGAATAATATATATGCGATATGTTTGAAACCTTTTTTTTAAAACGTCTGTTTTTGAACGTCTCAAGTCATGTCTGATGGTTATATGTCAATAATCCAAGTTTGATTCAATCTCCTTTTGTTTTGCAATGTAGATTTGATGGCGAAGAATTCTTAAGAAAAATGAGCGGAAAAAAGATAATGTACGTTGGCGATTCAGTAAGCGTAAATCAGTGGCAATCAATGGTTTGCCTTCTTCATGCTGCATTGCCATCTCAATCCAACATAACTGATGAAACTATCAACTCAACTAGAACCGTCACGTACCAGGTAATATATGAATTGTTATTATCCATTATTTTATATAATACGTTATAAAGAAGTACTTAATGGTCATGTTATGATGTGAGCTTTGTAGGATTACGGAGTTTCGATTTCGGTTTTCTTATCTCATTACTTGGTAGACATTGTTGATGAGAAAATTGGACGGGTTATGAGACTTGATTCCATCGCAGACGGAGATATATGGAAAGAGAACGATGTTTTGATCTTTAATACTTGGCTTTGGTGGTATCGTAGCGGAGATAAACAACCGTAAGTACGATTTTTTATTTCGAAGATTATACAGTCACTGACCAATAGTTTAAAAGTTGTACGGTTTGATGCAGATGGGATTATATTGAAACAGATAATAAAATACTGAAGGACATGGATAGAATGGCTGCTTTTCGCGAGGGTTTGAAGACTTGGGCGAATTGGGTCGATTCAGATGTGAACACACTAAAAACGACCGTGTTTTTCCAAGGAGTTTCGCCGTCTCATTACAAGTAATGATTTCTTTACTGAACATTATAAAAACTAAGTTTTATGATAGACATGAGATCCGACCCTTGATCAAATTTAATGTATTAAGAGCATCTTCAACAAATTCTTTAAAAATGGAGAAAATTAGGGTTTTCGATAGTTTTTTTTATTCTTATTTTAAAAAATTTGTTCAAAGTATTCTAAAACATTTACAATTAGTTTTTTTTAAATAATTTTATCAAAATAAAAAAGCAAAAGTCAAAGTCTTAAAAAAATTACATTTAATAATTTCTCAATGTAATTAATTAATAATTTCTCAATGTAATTAATTATAATATTAAAAATGCATTTAATAATCTAACAAATTATTTTATAAAAAAATTTAAAATACAACTAATGATATTCTTCTAGTTGAGAATCAAACCATAGATTTATTCAAATATGGGGAACTTTATTTTTTTTATAATGATTTAAAAATTATATTAAAACCAACTTTTAATAAAAAAAAACTTCAATTTTTTATTTTATATATATATATATATATATATATGGTTGGGTTCACGTGAGATCAAAGATTTGTCGTGAGACCCGTAAGACCAATTTATGTTCATTGATCAACTTTATAAACTAATGATTAAATAGTCTAAAGTTGTACGATGATAATTTTGTGATTATTAGGAAGTTTCGTGACAATTTTGTGATTATGAATGTTCAGATTGTAGATCTAAATCCAAGGGTTGAAAATTGGTCTTACGGATTTTACGAAAAACCTTTGGTCTCACATGATCCCAAGTCTCTCTCTCTCTCTCTATGTATATATATATATATATATATATATATATATAGAGGGATGTTATTCTACACCCTTTGTTATTCCTACACCCTATACAACCTTCATCTCAACCATTCAATTTTTAATCAATTAATTGTTTCCTAATATAAAGTATTAATCATAATTAATAAACTCTATTCATATTCCATAAATATTCAAATCATAATAAATGAACTCCAATCATTTCTATAAATATCTTAATTAATTGGGTTGCAAAGGTTGTACAAATGTACAAGGTTGTAAAAGAAATATACCCTATATATATATATATATATTGTTGGAGATGTAGATTATAATCCAACACTATTTTAACATTATAATCGAATTAAATGAAATACTGACTTTCCAAACAAAATTTGTACAGTGGGGTAGAATGGAACGAGAAGGGGGTGACAAACTGTGCAAAAGAAAGGCTTCCGATGAGTGGATCAACATACCCAGGTGGCATCCCGATGGCAGAGACGGTGGTGGAGCAGGTGTTAAGTGGTGTTAGAAAACCAGTGTCATTACTCAACATAACAAGATTGTCTCAATTGAGAAAAGATGGGCATCCAAGCAATTTCAATGCCTTCAAAGGGATGGATTGCACACACTGGTGTGTAGCTGGGGTTCCTGATACGTGGAACCAACTTCTATCTGCTGCTCTTATTTGAAGCCCATTTTTGAATGCTTTATATGTTAAATTTCAAATATATTTTTGGGGGAAAATAATATAATTCATAGGTCAAAAAACCTAGATATACAATTAAGTGTCCTGATTGCGTTGTAAACAATTACCAAATAATTATATTTCATTTCGTACTATATTACAATTTTTTTTAATCATTCTGTACCAAATCATTCAATAACTGTCAAACAATCCAAGATGGTTTAGAATTTGCTTCATATTATCATATATATATATATATATATATATATATATATATATATATATAGATGAAAGAGAATCCTGAAAAGTTAGTTTGACTATGGTCAATGTAATCAATACCTTGGAATGATTTTAATGGCGAGAAAAATGATTTGAATTAGAATATTTTAAAAATAAAATATCATGTTTAGTGCAATAAAATTGACATGTTATATATATCTATATTATAAAACATTTGGCTAAAACTCTTAAAAACTCTTAAAAACTCTTAAACTCTTAAAACTCTTAAAGACAACTTCTATTACTTTAGGTACAACCTACTAAAGCATAAAACTCCCGCCACCCCTAATCTGCCTATCCCTAAACCCAATCCCATTTTTATCGCCAACCCAAAAACCCAATCCCATTTTTATCTCCCCAACCCAAATCGTTCATCTAAACGACCCCTAACCCAATTCGATGAAATGAACCCTAAACGGTATCATCATCGCCAACAGAGTTTGAATAATACAGATTCGATTTAATCCCTAAATATCCTGTAATTCGATCTCTCGGTGTCCAGGTGGATCTAGACTCTGTACTAACAATGGCGTCTTGAAGAAGAATGCTTCTCGAGATCATGATCGTCGGAKATCGAGCAGGTATGTGTTTATCTCTCCAAATTTAGGTCAAAATTTCACTTAGAACCACCGTTGATTCGGAGATCATGATAYGATTGAATACGAAATTAGTTCAATCATAGGAATTAGGGATTATTTACTTGAGGCGCTTAATTCGAAGAACAGAATGCACAAAATCTGGTTTAAAGCCTGTTCGAATTGAATCCACCATATTGTGTTATTCCTACTTTTGATTTATGATTCTTCRAATTGCTGGTTGTATATGAAACTTCCATTAGATTCCTTTTGTTACTGTTATTGTTATCTGTGTTTCAATTTTCCATCGACTATAACCTGCAAGTTCAGAAATCAGAACGGTACACAACGGTGGGGATGGAGGATGTTCGTTTCACACGATGCGTTTTGGCATCGGACTGGACGTAACAGAAAATAGCTCATTGTTGTTTATCTATATCTATACTATCTATCTATACTATATTATAAAGCGTTTGGCTAAAACTCTTAAAGACAACCTCTATTGCTTTCGGTACAACCTACTAAAGCATACTATCCCTAAACCCCCGCCATCCCTAATCTGCGTATCCCTAAACCCAATCCCATTTTTATCGCCAACCCTAATCTGCATATCCCTAAACCCAATCACATTTTTATCGCCATCCATATCCCATAAACAAAATCGATTTTCAAACCCATAAACADAGATTTTGATGAAATCGATTCCAACCCAATTCGATGGAATATCGATAGACCTTTCCTCACTGGCCAATTCCATCAGGTTTCCCTTTTCTCCTATTATAGTAGATGATTGAAGACTCAATCGTCTATAGTTTTTTGTGAGTTTATATAATCTGGTTGATAATTTTGAATTTCTTGGAACTAACGTAAGATCATATGCTTATTTTGCAACTTGATGCAGGAAGTGGAATCGACACCCGGGCTTGCTGAATCCAAGGGAAATTCAGTTGATTTAGGGTACTTTGACCTTTTTGGTAGACTGATATTGATCTTATTCGTGTTGTTTGGTTTTCTTTCTAATGTTTCTTAGTGCTGCTATTAAACAGAATTGATTATCTTATTACATTTTGTTTCTACAGTTTGGAATCTGAGAAGCCTATAGGCTGCTACAGTTCTTCAGTGCAGGTAAAATAGTTGTTTTTATGTTTGGGTGTACAATATTTCACTTTTTTCTGTTAAGATTGTTAATTTCGATCGTCCCAGTTATTTTGTCACACTTGAGTTATCTAGATTACACTTGCAAAATTGAATGTTGTTCTTGGTTGTAGATTTGTGATCCAAGTTTGTATTATATCTGCCTTTCGTTCCTTGCTCAAATATTTGGTAAACTTTTTTCTATGGGCATCTCAGTTTTTCCCTTGGTTTCTTCTTTTATCAATCAAGCTTTATGGRCTTTGAAAACTTTCTCATATGTTGTCAATATGTTCTTAGACACAAAGCAAATAGGCTGCATCTATTCTAGCTCATTTGGAGGATTGTAACTATGAATTGATTGGAGAAGATACATTTTTAAATAGTTCTATGCAATTTAACACCTGGGCACAGGTTAACACACCTGAGCTCATGTTTTAAGGCTTATCATTTTCAACGCTTGAGCCAAAATGTACACCAGACAATGTGATGAGAATTTAGGACAATTTGGTGATTGATATAATGATGATAATTGCTGGATTATCTAAAACTAGGTCGCTTGTAAGCTTTATAGAAGCACTCTTGTTAAGGTTTAGATATATGAAATATATGAGTCTCTATATTCTGTCATGTTGGTTGTGGACAATGAAAAAGACACAGTTGTAGGAATGTGTAATTATTACACTTTTTAATTAATTAAAGGACAATTTCACCCTTAATAGTAAAAATAAGGACAATTTATTTATCAATTTTTGTAAAAAYTTGAACGATAATACTCAAGAATTGCAAGACCAGTTCTTCTTACCTATAGGTGCTCTTGCGTTTCATTATTGTAAAGAACATGCTTTATATTTCAACTAAATGATATTTGTGTACTTTACAGTTCGAGACTAACCAGGTCAATGAGGCACTAATGTGATGATTGATCTGTTATTTAGTGTAGTTTACATTTTATGAACTTCTATCGTCTTATGGTTTGTACGGTGTTTTAGGAAGTTGATCTTAAACTAACTGCTGTAAGGGCCTATGCAAAACAGCTATTCACTGCTCTAAAACATCTTAGAAACTATGGCGTCCTTCATACTGACATTAAGCCAGATAACATGCTGGTTCGTACTTTTAACCTGATTCTTTATTTTGTCCTGTTTTTGTTTTATTAATGTCTCCCTGATAAACATAGACACCCCAATTCATATGATCTTAAGGTAAACGATGCAAAAAATGTTCTGAAGCTTTGTGACTTTGGAAATGCTATGTTTGCCGAGAAAAATGAGATCACACCGTACCTTGTGAGCCGCTTTTATCGTGCCCCTGAAATAAGTAAGTATTGTATTCAAAGGGTATGCTCCCTTGGCTGGAATATCCTCTTTTTTTACTCATTAAAATTAAT